TGTAGCCGTCTGAGTAACGTAGCGATTTACCGTCCATGCTGCGTGTCGTACTATCCAAGGTAGTAGACAGTGCTTTGTGGACATCGTCATGCTGTAGTTGCTTTCAACCTGAGCTTTGACGACGCGGATTTGTCCGAGAAGTGTTCTATGTAGTCGCTCAACGCTTCCTTGACTGTTGCTGCTGTAGGATGGTGAATGTCGTACAGTCATTGAGCCGACTTTAGATGCTGTTGCTTGTAGTAGTGCATTGAGTGTGTCTTCATTGTCGCTTTGTAGTATGCCGTGTGTTCTTCCGCATTCAAAGATGAATGCTTGTAGGCTGTTGATCATGTAGTCCATCATTGATGGTTTGTCCGGAACCAATACCGCCATGCACAGTTGTGTAGTAACATCAACTGCCGTTAAGACTGGTATGGTCTTCGGATCTTGTTGTGATTTGATGTAGGCAAAATCCACTTGGATGATGGGTTGTCGTGATTGTTGTTTCTTGTAGTTGTCCTGGCGTCCTTTGCCTTGAACGCAAATTGGACACCAATTTCTGTATGGTAGGTGTGTCAAGTTGTGTTCTGCTATTTGTTGTGGAGTGGGCTGCTGAGGTTGTCGTAGTCCTATTGCTCTGTGTGCTTCATGATGCTCGTGTTGTTGTTCCTCATCGTGGTTCTCCTGGATGTACTCGTAGTCTTTCTTCACGGTGAACCTTGTTGTTCCTTTCCATTGAAATGGTAGTGCTGCGTTGCCCATGACTGTCCAGTCATCTTTGCGTTGGGAAACTTCTCCAAAGTTGTTGTGAGTGATTGTAGTTCTGTGAGGTTCGAGTGTGCTGATTGGTGGATGTCCTGGTCCATCTGTTGGAGTGAATAGAGTTGTTCTAAGTGATGTGTGGTGTCTTATCCAGTGTTCACCTTGTCTTTCCCAGTAGTCTTGGTTGTCCTCCTGTGCTGTGAGTGGTCTGTGGATTGTCTCCTTTCGTTGTGCGGTGTCAAGATTTGTAGAAGGTGCTGCTTTAGGTCTCCATATCTTTTGTGGTGCTCGTAGTTGGATCTTTGATCTGGTTGGTGGTGTGTCCAGTAGCCGTTGTGGTTGTGAGCTCTGCCTTGTTGGTGTTGTCTTTGATGTTGCTCTGCGTGTAGGTGTTATCTTTCTTCTGAATCTGGTTTCTCCAGTCCAGTTGTCACCTTCTAGTCTTCGTTGTAGTTCTTGCTTGGAGAGTTGTGTTGGGTTCTCTTGTAGTTGTTCTTGCTCTTGCCCTTGTCTGTTGATGATGGTTAGTCGCCAATCATCTAGTTCTTCTTCAGGTATTGGGCAACCACTGTTGTGTGGTGTGAATAGTGCTTTGCGTGGTCGTTTGTGTACTCTGATGGCGTAGTCACCATCAAGTTTCCAGTAGTCAGTGTTTCCATCAAGGATCTGTCGTAGTCCTTGGTCTGTGTGTGTGAGTGGTGCGATTTGTTCTTGTTGTTGTGCTGCTCTCTCTGTAGGTTGAATCACAGCAATGGATTTTCCACTGTCTGTAGTCATTGGTTAGATGTCGAATCCTGTAGGGATGTCGATCTTCTCTGCTCGTAGGTAGAAAAGTCCTGAGTGTCTGATGAGGTGTGCTTGTTGTTGTCCATGTGTGATGGTGCAGTGTCGTGGAGTGAAGTCAAGTCCATATCCTCTATCAAGTAGTCTTGATGCACTGAGGATTGGGTACTTCACATCACAAACGTAGTAGGGTATCATGATCCTGAAGTTGTCCTGCTTGTAGGGAACGTACTTGGTGCCGTAGACAGGAATCTTCTTGTTGGTAACCGTGTAGAGTTGTGGAACCGATTCTCCACAAGGTCGTAGCGGTAGGTCTGGTGCGTAGTCCTTCGGGCAAACGTGTGTAGACGCTCCTGAGTCGATCAGTAGGTGGTGGTATGACTTGAAGTTGGAGTACATGATGTAGTGTGTGATAGTGTTCTCAATCTTCTTGTTCCTTTGTTGTTGTCTGGCTGCGGCTATATCAAAGTGTGGCTGTGTGTTGTCTTCTTGTAGGAATTGTTGAAAGCTCTTGCTGTGGTCGTTCCATGATGTTGTGTGTGTTGTTCTCTTGCCAAGTAGTGATTTGGATTTGTGCTTGTGTAGTCGTGAGTTTGCTTGTCTGATGTGTCCAATTGTGAGGTGTGACTCGTTGATGCCTCCAATGTAGTTTGCAGTGTCCTCATAGCTGTCGTCATTCCAATCCCAGCTGTTGTCATAGTCGTAGTCGTTCCAGTTCTCCTCCATGTAGTTCACCTCGTGTTGTCCTTCTTCTCCTTCGTAGTACCAGTCCCAAGTGTCGTTCACATCCTGAGGTAGTTCTTCATTGTTGTCGTGATCTGCTTGTTCTTGTTCTAGTGGATGTGGTTCTTCTCCTTCTCCTGTGTGCCATACTGGCACTCTGCAGTCTTGTGCCCAGTGGCCTGGTTTGCCACATCGATGGCATGTTGTGTAATTGTTGTTTCCCTTTCCTTTTGATTTGCTGTAGTTTCCTTGGCCTTTGTAGCCTTTGCTTGATCCATGTCCTTTGGATCCTGAGTAGCCTTTTCCTTTGTTCTTGTTGTATCCTCCTTTGTTGTAGTTTCCTTTGCTGCCTTTGTCGAATCCTTTGTAGTGGCCTTTGCATCTGTACTCACCTTTTCCTTTGTTTCCTTTGTAGTGTCCTTTGCCTCCATATTTGCCTTTGCCTTTGTAGTTTCTTCCTTTTCTCCAAATGTTGTCCACGTCCATCGGTGCTGTCCCACCATTGTAGTTTGCGCCAACTGCTGAGCTCGCTCTTGAGAATGCAGAGATGGTTTTGTAGTAGTCCAGGATGACAGCTCTGATTTCGTTGTAGTTCGTGATCTGTCCAGCACGTAGTTGGAGATGCTGTTGGAGTGCTCCTTTGGTCTTGTTGAGTAGTATTGCAATCTTTACTCCATCTGGTAGTGCTGTGCCGTTGTCTTTCTCGTAGCGGTTGATGTCGTATTCCCACTGTAGGAATTGTTCTTCAAATTGTGCTTCATTGAATGTAGGTTCCAGTAGTTTGGTGAGGTACCCAACACTGCGTGTTCCTACTGGTAGGCTGAACCTGTTGTGCAAAAGCCGTAGTGTTTCACATCCATTGGCATTGTAGCGGTTTTGTCTAACCACTGTAGCTGCTGCTCCTTGGCAGATGTTGATGAGGATGTAGTGTAGATCTCGTGAGAGGTCTACTGCTTTTGCTGCCTGTGTAGGGTCGCGTATAGCTGCTTGTGCTAGTTGTAGCACCATGTCGAAGTCTCGGTCGATAAGTCCGAGATATGCTTGTAGTTTGAACAGCCACTCTTCATACTGTGAGTAGTCACCAGTGAAGAATGGTGGTGGCAGTCTGTATTTGTGTAGCCTTTGGACGTCTTCCGGTTTTGTGTTGTTCCCGTAGTTGTGGCTCCTATTGTCTCTTCTGCTGTGGGCCCGTTGTCTGCTCCTGTAGTTGGTTGTGCTGATGCTGCTGCTGGTTCTCCTGACATGTCGTAGTAGTTGGGCATGTTGGTTGCCTGTGCAGTTGTAGTACTTACTGCTGTTACTGGAGCTCCCCTATGTTTAGGATCTCAGCTCCGCTACCACGCTAAAATACGTTGGTACTTTACTGCAAGTGCAAGTGTTGTTTCTGTTGTCACAAACACAAATGTAGTTAGCCAGCATGCACTCTTTTCCTTGTAGACTCAAGGCCTGCAGTCGGGTAGTGTACATCATGCATGCACAAGTGACAAGTAGTGCAACATGATATTTGACATCTCCCGTTCTATGTACTGCATGTGTACGAGAAAGCTGCCCACAGAAAATTGCCGGAGCTGGACACGGAATGGCATCCCAAACTTCTTAAAAGGGGCAACAAGCTCCTACTGATCCAGGTGAGCCATCTATCACAACATTCTTAGAGGAACTGCTGTGTCTGCAACAAAAGCTCAAGGACTGCCAAAAAAGCTGGACATGAAAACAACCGATCAAGAGAAGTCCCAACAGTGCGAAAAGGAAGGGTGACAAACTGGCAATGTGTGGGGAAACCCTTGATGTTGACATTCAAGCTGCTTGCCATGCTTAAGGCGCTACGGTGCCTTCCACAGCACAAAAACATCGTCGCGACCTGTTTCAAGCCCACGCGCTGAATCCCAATAAAGGCAGAATTTGCTGCAGAATGCATCCAACCTCAGGAAGATGCGCACTGCAAGAGAGGTACCGCCACCACTGCCGTTCAATCCTCACAGCAAAAAAACAAGCACATAGCAAGCAGAAAGGATGTGTCCAATGGGTCATCGGCACAGGCTCTCATTTCAGTGATGGGAAACAGTGAGCCAAAATCGCAGGAAAGCAGTCATCAACGGCCAAAACACCAGTTCAGTTTGTTCCCCGTGTTTTGGCCGGCAAGAAAGGGATTTCTATAGAAAAAAGTTCTGCCTTCTGGGGGCATGTGCCACGGGAGCTGGCAAGCAGGCCCCATCCAGGGCGACACGGTGCGACCTGCCCGACTTGGGCAACAGTCCCGACTGCCAAAGAAGGATGATACCATCGAGCTGGACTCGTCTCAAGCCGGGGACGGTGGATTGCCGAAGCATGAGTTGCTTCAATCCACCAAGCCCAGCCCGATTTCAAAAATCTTGGAAGGCGCAAAAAAGGGACACATAAGACATGCATTTCCCTCGTCTCCGTCTTCATGAGTCTGCGCCGAAAGTTTCACAAACAGAAGCTTTCCAGTGCCTTCAGACCGGGCCACCGTTACTTCCTGACTTGGCACCTATGGGTGAAGCCTGCATCCGCAAGGAATCTGAAGCGCAGGCACCTGTGCCCCTATTGAACTCCAAATGTTTACCTTGCCTGAGGTTGTACCTAACCCAACTTGGCATTCGCGACTCTTGACCTGGTGCCAGCGCCTTTTACAAATCCGATTCCAAGCTGCAGGCCACTCCCAGACTTTTGCTGGGTCCAACCCGTCGGCTGAGCGCCGCACTCACAGGGCACATGAGACCTCGGACCCCTGCCTATGTGGGAGGAGGCAGCGAGCAGCAGGGCGTACTGGCCACCTCTGGCACCTGCCAGGGCAGTTTTTAGGAACAGGGGCTGCAGGAAAGAACACACCAAACCAGTCTGAAGTAAGCTACCGGGAAGGAAGCCCAACAGTGCCAATCCACCGCAACGATTGTCCACTAGGTGCCCTTGTTCAACTTCCCTCACAGAATGACAGACGCAAGGCCTGCTGTACAGCACGTTTGTGACGCTGGAGGCAAAGAGCGGAAACCACAAAGCCCAGGAGGATGCAAATGAAAATCCTGGAGGCTCAGCGTTTGCAGACTCCCAAGGGGCCGGGCTTTGGGCGGGCCAGTGAGTGGACTGACCTTGCACAGCCATGGGCTCTCTTGGGGGTAAGAAACAGCTGTCATCTCATCCAATCGAAATCCGACTGCGCTTGCAGAGACGATGAGTGGCACGTATACACCCTGGACGTGGGCAGAATCAATTCACCCTCAAACGAAAGAAAAAAATCCCAGAGAGCTTACGGGATGAAACGTGCAATGTGGTTGTCCAAGTGAGGCTCGTTCACTAATCTCAGGGCAACGTGTCTTGTCCTGAAACCGAGTGTCTCTGGAGGTCACTGCTGATGCTACTGACGGATGCATTTGGAGGATTGCCCCAATTGCCGCTCAAAAGTCGGCAAGTGAAATGAGCCTGGAACCTGCTGGCCTTCTCAGAGGAAAGAGACCAACAGTTGTCAGCGTGCCTAGGGCATTTCCGCGTTGAGAAGCCCACACCAATTGCGGGTCCGAGCTGCACAATTTCGTAGAGCATTGCCAAAAGCATCGCGCAATATGCAAACCTTGCGTCGCAGCCGAGGGTGGTCCTTCTCAAGTAAAACAGACAGGCTTCAGCTATGGCTCTCTATCCAGGTTGGACGGCCAAGGGAGAATGCTGACCTTGCTTTCTTTTGGAGGGAGTTTGAAGGGACATTGACGCACTCTCAGAATGGAAGGAAGGCTCCCAGCGCGCTCCTAGTGGGACCTTCCAAACAAATGGTTTTGCTTTTAAAAAAAAAGGACACTTCGCTCTGGGAGTCCGGCAGCATCTGGCCACCGAAGACCAGCGCTGCCGCGAGGTCCACAACTGGACGTGGGGTCTTGGGCCTCAGCAGCCTCTCCCGGAGCATCTGGAAGCCGACCTCAAAGGGGAAACAACGAAAGAGCCTCGCTTCGCGGAAACAGCACTGCACGGGATCACATGTAACATGCAAACCCATCGCCACGCAAAATTGGTCACATAACTGCCTTCGCGGACCCCTCTCTACCAAAACAAATATGCTCAAATGGCAGATTGGGTTTCACCCTATGTTTCGTCCTAATCAACCTCCAGGATGGTTCCCCTGGAATAGTTGGAGGTCGCTAACTGTGATGTTTCCCTTTTCGCACAGTTTCCGACCTCAGGCAGCGAATCGGAAGCAAAGCAGATGCAATGCTTCACTGGGACCCGATCATTGTGACCGTTGATTGATCCCCACATGGCATGAACAAGAAATCCTCATCGAAGTGCAGCTTTTACATGTCACTTTACTTTGAAGTAAGGTTCCTCTGGATAAGACCTGCGGTTTGCCAACGGCCCCTGACGCCCAACAAATGCGCCCCAAAAATGTTTGGTTTGGTGTTGATTGAGCCGTGTTTCATTGTTTTCCGAGCACCCTGCGCTCACATCCGGGCAGAGCCAAACAACACAACGAAACCGTCAGCGTCGGAACATCATGGAAGGGATGGCCGCTGTTTGCAAGCGGAACGGTTTGGAAATACTCAAATGCATTGATTGCCCCCAAAACAACAGTGCGCTGGTTGACCCCAAACCCTCGAATTGGATGCCAGATTCCCACTTAAGTCTTCGCCTTCCCCTCCCCCGTTGGCATGTGAAGAAGGGCCCTCTATGTTGTGCAACACAATTTTCGGAAGAATGCGGAATACCGGGATCCCTGCAAGTGCAGAACGCATGGTTTGTGTTGCGCTCACGTTGTATCACGTGCATTGTTGCGAATGCGCTTTATGAATTGAATGCTGGGCCTAGGTCTGGCTGCCCATAAGCACCAGCCTTCGCCTCAATTTTCTGAGTCGCAAACACACATCCGATGGCTGAGGTTGGGGCGATGGCCAGCGGCAGCATGAAGGCTCCCACACATGTGGCCACGTACTTCGCGCCAGAGTCCAGCACCCAGCCAGGGAAAAGCGCCATGGCACAGGGCTGACCAGGGCCTAGAGTTGCCCAAAAGCCCTGAAAATAGTCGGTTGCCCTTTTCGGGCTTTTACTTCTCAATACATCAAAATAGGAAAGCCAAAAGGTCGAAGGTCAATTCGCTTTGGACAACGGCGATGGCTGGGCTTTGGATTGCCATTGACAGCGCCTAATTCGTTAGGCTTGGCAATCCGAGCTGCGAAAGGATGAGCCGCTTACCGCTGGCTCACACGCACATGTAGCGCTACCGTGCAGATTCTTCGCCGCACCTTTTCATGCGTTCCACAGCTGCCCCTTCTCCGGAAACTGCCGCATATCATCTTGCGCCTGAAGCTGCGCCTCCGAACTCACAGCAGGTCGTGTTCTGCCTCCTTGTCTCTCAAGTTCAAGAATGATGTGTTTCCCCTTCGTGCCGCAGCCATGTGGCATCACCCTTCCGAATTCGCGCGATTGACAGCCCCGCTGTGAAAGTGGACTTGTGTGCGAGGGCAGCTCACAATCATCGGAAATCGATCTTCTCCCATGAGAAGCCTGCCAAAGCCCCACTGCAACGGGGCAAAGCGCAGACTCTGACCACCCACATGAATAGGTCCATCTTCCCACAAAGATCTCCAACTGCTCGTTCCGCATCACCAGCAACTCATGTCTGCTGGGACATGGATCAACTCAATGCCGCTGTCGGCATGTACGCATGTGCAGGCGTCGGTCTGGGCGTTTCCCGGATCACCTCCTTCTTCAAAGTTAATCTTTGCGCTGCTTCATCGAGGTTTTCAGGGACTCCTAAAATTTGACCTGCTTGGCTGCGGCAATCACCTTCTCCTCAGCACAAAGGCTCACACCAGGGCTGGGTTGTTGGGTTGAGAACACGCTCCGCAATCTTCATGATCTCCTGATCCACGTCTTGCCCCCTTGCCCTTAGGCTCCGCGGCTTGCGCCCTTCTCAGATCAGCTTCCGGGACCCTGAAAGGCGCGGATCAGCTGGTCGAGGGCCGCATAGGCTTCGTTCAGCTCCTTCTGCTGCTCAAGAGAAGCTAACCACTAACACGCTCCACTGGCTTGTCCGCCCAGTGGACCTCCTCTATAGCATGTGGCTTTGGAGCCACCTCCATTGCACCCCGTGTAGCGAAGCTCATCCTCCGCGTCTCTCAAACCATCCATGACAGCCCTTGAGGAAGCCAAAGAGCATCTCCTCGTGGCTTGCCTTTCCCCCCTTCGTTAACGGACTCAGGAGAAGACGCGACCCCGAAGTCATCAAGATCATCTTCACCAACACCTCCACCGAGTCTCGGGCCCCAGGAGCTGTTCCAGCTCCGCTGCCAGTCCCACTGCCAAAGTGCAGCCGCCTCTTGTTTCCAACTCCTCGCTGATCCGAGCTGCGAAAGAAAGGATCAGCCAGCTTACCGCTGGCTCACACGCTCATGTAGCGGTCTTGACAAAAGGAACTCCTAGTTCCGGCAATCGGCAATGTGTCATGCCTTAAAAATTATGAAAAACCGACGTAGGTGGGTTGGTGAGTGGGGTGGAGTGGTGAGGGGGGTGGGGGTGAATATGTCCCTAAACATCCCAAAAAGACTCAGAAACACCACAAGGGTAAATATCCAAAAAAGCAGGCAAGCCCAGGGGCAAAATGGGAAACGGAAACAAAATCAAAGTGGAAGCCAGGAGTCGCAGTGGGCTTCACTTGGAGATTCTTCTGGAATTCAACCATTTGACGGGGCTCAAAACTCGAGACTGTAAGGCCGGCAGGCGAGGTCGGGGGAGAAAAAGAGAAAGACCGATTCACTCACGAATATTGGCGTTCTCTGCGAGGCGAGTCCGACGAAAAGACTCTGATCAACCCAATACACGCTGCCCTTGAAGGGTCCGCATTGGGAACCTTTCAAGGGCGGCAATCATTTCCCAACATGTTGCTTCAACAATGGGCACCAGCACAGAATCACCCTCTGAGATGTGGCTTAAAGGGCTTGATGATTTTAGCTCTTGAGCCAGCGTTTCGGTGCTCCCCGCCTATTGCCACCTGAAAACCGTTCAGCATCACTGTGCCGTTGCCCAAGCAGAAGACCTCCATGTCCATGTCCATGTCGCCCATGTCATGGCCATGCTGACCATGATCGTGGGCCATGGGGCTCTGAGTGCTAGATGAAACCCGGGTTCTGACTCCCTGAGTATACTACCTGCACGTCGAGCCACAAAACTAACGGAAAGGCAAGGTTGATTCGTGGAAGCAAGGAAGGGTGGGTCGCATTGTGAGTGCAGTTGGCCTTCAGATAGTCCGGCGTCATTCTTTCAAGCCGCACAGGCCACTATCACTGCCTGACGAATTGACTGTCGGCCGACTTTCTGCGACATCTGCACAAGAGCGCAGCTCACAGAGAGGCGCACACTCCCAAGCCATGACAGGGCATCAGGACTGAGCCGGCACACGCTCTAGGATGTGTGGGTGGCAGAACACGTGTTGAAAACCTCTCAGATGGGAATGACACTGCAGTCAAAACCAACTTTGTCCCTTCTACCCTGAAAGGCTTGGGAGCGACAAAGGTGTGAAACGTTGGATGGAACATACGGGAACAACATCTTCACAAATGGTCATGACACATCTGCCCCGTGCTGAGAAACGGGAAGACCAAACTTTCGTGTGACCTCGCCACAGAAGCTTCCCACTTTGATACCACGGAAGCACGAACTCCTGGGAACAGACTCCAAGTGTCCCCAAATGTCCCGAGCGCTCAGTGCAGCAGCAGCGCGCTCCGGTCCAGCGCGAGGTCCCGCGTTGGACAGCGGCAGGCCTCAAGGGTACATGAGGGAAGTTGAGTGGGGGGTGGGCGGGGGGGGGGGAATGATTGTTTGAGGCAAAGGAAGGCTTGCATGCTTGAATGTTGGTCAATACGATGGGAATGGTGAATCACAGGTGCAAGCACTTCGTTGATCAGCTGTGTGAAGTCCAGCATTTGAAACATTTGAGCCGTTGCTGTTGAAACACCTCCCAGCGACCCAGTCAGAACTGGCATTCACAAATGTATCCAAGCGCTTGAACACGTCATGTTTGATGACAGCAAGGAACTCTCACGATTCATCTAAAGTCTCCAAAGGTCGATGCCTTGCTCCCGCCTTGCGCTTGCGGCGCTGCACCACAAAAGTGGACACCCCGAAGCCCAGGATGAGGCAGCTGAAGATCCTGCGGGCTTTCGACCGTAGATAGACAGAGTCGTACCCCGAGTCCCGCGGCGCATTGACCCGAAGGCGGGATGGGCTTGAAAGGCTGAAAAAAAGCTGCAAAGCTCGTCCCAATTTGAAGATCCTGACGTCTTGGGCCACGAGCTCAGAGACTAGACCGGCCTGACAGAAGCCTCGCTGAGTTAGGCCATCAGATTTCGTCCAAGCGGCAGTGGCTCGTACAGCATCACCAGAAGCATCGCAAAGTACGCAAACCTGGGTTCTCAAGACTGAACCTTGTGGTTTCGTTTCGGTGTTCTTAAGAAACCGTTCGAAAAAAATGCCGATCCCTGTTTTGAGCCAGACCTAGAGCATTTCTCACCTTCTCTCTTTGCCCCCAGCACAAACCTGGGAATCTCCAGCATGTCTCTTGCGCGGTTGCGCAGCCCTGGGCTGACTTGACCCCCGAACACAATAATGAATGATAGGATGCCTTTACCGCGTCAGCAATTTTCCACAAGGCTTACGAAGTAAATCGGCGCTGAAGTAATTTTTGGTATCTTTAGCCTTCATTTATTTAATTGTTAAAAAAAAAGCTTCAGCTTCAAAGGCTCATCAGACGAATGTCGCACTTGAACAGTCTCACTCCTCAACCATTCCCATTAGATCCTTCCAAAAGCCGAGATCTGCTGGCAAATGGTAGATGAGCCGGCCACACCCCCGCCCCACCCCCCCGCCCCCACTTCGGGCTGGGCGCATCATCTGCATCCCGAAGAGCAACGCCTGGCGCAGGTCCGCCAACACGCCAGACTCCAGCGCTGCATCCCGAAGAGCCACACGCTCCCGCAGGACGTTCAAGGACACCTCGTGCGCGCGTTGGCCCCCCCCCCCCCCACCCGCCCCTGCAACAGACCAATGGGGAGTGGGTGAAATGGAAGCCACGTGTCTCCTCCCGTGCAATCCCGAATGCATTTTCCGTGTAAATCAGCCTATCGATCTGTCATGGGGACATCGCCAACCGGCAACCATGCCTTGCCCTTCTTGCGTGACGCTCTGGGTGAGGTTGCGAGTTTTTCCACAAAGCAGTGGTCAAGTGGGCCAGCCACAAAGACATGCACGAGGCCTCTTTGGCAATCTTCCTGCCAGGATGACGGGAGTGCAAAGTTGGGCGTATACGAGCTTGCCACGCGCGCCATAAAGCAATCTTGGCTGCCAGCATCGTCGCTAAGACGCTTCAAGACAATGAAGACAATGAAAGAAGCCAGAACCAAAGCGGCCTTTGGGCCTTTGTCCTTTAGAATTCCATGTCGCGCGAGAGCTACATTTGGCAAAGCTTTTCGGCAAACCAATTGTGCAACAGTCAGTGCTTGCCGGTGTCAAAAGCAGTCTATCTTGGCCACATGGCTATTGTGTTCTTGAAAGTGTTGCGATAGAGGTCCAGAAAGAAGGACACTGGCCACAAGCAAATGCCACATGCCAATCCAAGGAGAGGTATGCCGAATAGACAGAGCGAACAGGGGAGCCCACGGTTAGGGCTGTGCCAAAGCAGTAAATCGCTGGGCACATTTGGCACTGCACCCCCCCTAGTTTACCGAAACACACTGGCTATCAGGAGACAAAGTGGCTCAATACGTGCAGGACTTCAACAAAAAACCTGCAACAAAGTACTCCGAAAGGGCAAAGGCCGCAACATCAAAGCAAAGTTCCAGTGTCACAACATGTTATCATGGCTCAGCCGAGATCCTCGACTGCCTCAGGCCATGACGCTTGTAAAGGGACCAACGTAACGAAAGCAGAGGCATGCTAGTTAAAGGCGAACTTCCAGAATTGCTCTTTGTTGTTGGTCAACAAAGAGTCCACGTCATGTGTTTCTGTTTGTTCTGGTTTTGCCTCAAGATCCTTCTGCTTCACTTCTCCCTCGCCTTCCCCGTTTCGTCCCTATTCCCTCCCCGACAAACCTGCTCCGAGTCACAACCACCCCGGGGATGAGAAACGCTCCAGTGCATCCCAGCAAATACTTGGCGGGCGAGTCGAGCGCCCAGCCAGGAAACAGGAACAGGGCACAGTCCTACATGCGATAGTCTCTGACAGTCAAAAAGACGGGTGGAGCTGTTTTGGATGGTTACAGGGAACCAAAGCAAACAACCCCTATTTCTACAAGCCCATATAGTACTCCAGGGCTTGCATTCAGATTTCCGAGCCACGAAGCAAACCGCAGTCTTTGCCTGAAATAAGTCCTAAGCAAACATGTTGTTGGATTTGTGCAGCGACCTTCAAACTCGGAAGGACACCAACCCATCAGATGAAACCCCCCACCTGGGCCGGTCCCATGGCCAGCTGAAAGCCATCCGTCATCACCGAGCCCTTGCCCCGACAAAAGCGGGCCATTGCGCTTCGCAGGCCTTGCGCACTCTCCAACGGAAAGGCGTGGCAGCTTCGGGTCTCCAAGCTTTGAGTTTGATGCCTGGCATCCTGAAGTTGTAGGTCACCCCTCTTGACACATTGGCGGCAAGCGTGGAATTTCTCCACAAGCAGTGATTGTGTCTACGCGTTCCCAAACAAGCAAGTAGTGACATGCAGAGATCTCCCCGACTTGAGCAGATCTTCATTAACTGTTGGGATGCCCTGCTCCGAATTCAGCTCGCTGTCCAGCTGTGAGCCAACAGGCATCATGTCTTTCAATTCTTCCACGGTTCACAAGGCAGCAGTGTTTGGCACTGTTTTCTCCTCGAACACCGCGTCAGGCACTCACCATGTCCGGGGAGCAGCAGGGGGCCGCGTTGATGCGTGCCGTGAGGGCTGAGGAGGCCGCCTGAGCAACGACATGTCACAAGAGCTCTCTTCTCCACTTGTCGAACTAGATTCCACCTTTTCGCCGGCAACGTGGCTTCCTGGCTTTGGCACCTGACCCATCACCCCCCCCCCGTGCCCTGCCTTGCGGCGCTTGAAGCGCTGCAGGAGGAAGGTGGCAATCATGAAGCCCGCAATGACACAGCTAAAGATCCTGACAAATCTTGAAGGCACCAACAAAATGGGTCCCGTGGGCCAGGGATTGATGGCCCAACTTGAGAATGCCGGAAGCTCGCAGTCTTGGAGTCTTAGGGTCTTGGAGTTCCTGTTATCCTGTTGCTCAGTGCAAAAGGCAAATTCATGATCCCCTGCATTTGTTCACTTTGCGCATGAAGAAGGAGGATGACACATTGGCCGGACCGGGCTCCGGGGCCCATCGTCTCGCTGAGCGAACAAGGCAAAATGTGGATGGGACTTTCACCAAACATACCTCTGCAAGTCTCAACCCACTGCTTTGAACTCGAGCCTGAGTTCTCCTAGATCCGACCGATTTGTTATCGATTGCTTGACCATTGGGTTTATTCTATAGCTTAGTGCTGTCAAGTTGTAGTTCAGGTTGCTTTAAATTAGTCAGGCGAGAAAGAAAAAAACAGCTGGTGGTCTCTTCTTGCGCAATGCTCAGTGGCCCCTGATCACCGCCCCGGCACCATGCTTGCGTTTCCCTGCAAATTGAAGAATCTTCTCTGGGGCGGACCTCCGCTCAAAGTGAAAACTCCCTCCCATCCATCCGAGCATCACTGTCTCGTAGAGCATCACCAAGAGCATCACAAAGTATGCCAGCCTCAGACATGATAGGTCCCATCCTTTGCAGCTTGGCATGCCAACACAGAACGAACCCTTCTCTGCAAGCACAAACGACGCGACAGGAACAGTGCAAGCAACACCAAGTGTGCACTCATCGGATCATGCAAACAAAGGCCACGGTGGGTAGGGCCCAAGCACTCCGTTTGCCCTGTGAGGTTTGCAGTACAATTGTGCAAGCACGTGCAACAATGTGCTGACGAATCACATCACATTTCAAGCATCCTGCAAAATAGAAGCATGCTGCACTGATTTTCCCTAGAGACCCTGACCGTCGCCACCATGCGTTCCATATCTGAATCAAGGGACACCTGTTCCAAGCTGCACCTTTTAACCTTCACCTTTCCCACAAGACCCGTCCTGGGCATATGATGGATTGGCTCCCTACAATAAACTGCTCGCAATCAGGGCGACCTACTGCAATCCATGAAGTCGCCGGTTGGAAATATGGGACTTTCTAGAATAGCGAGCTTGATTAAGAATGCACGTTTTCACGGTGCAGTCGCAAAGCGGTTCTATCTCAAAACAGCTGGACCAACTGGACCAATTGGGCGAACTGGGCCGCAATGTAAATGCTGCCCAGGGCAAATCCGTATGTCCCAAATATATGGTGGACTGGTTGCTGCATGGGTGTGGTCTTCCCCTTTATGAAACCAAAGAGGAGTTCCCAAAAAGCAACACACCCGTATTGACCTGTTTCCATAGATCCGTTCCAAGGCGCGTCATCTGCAGGCCGAAAAGCACCGCCGCCAGAGCGTCCGGAGCGATGCCTCCGCCGCGCTGGCTGATCTCCACGACCCGCTCTCGGACCAGTTGCACTGACACCTCAGCTTCGGAAAAATCGGACAGGCGGTCCTAGCGGGTGTCGTATACCGGTATGTTGCAAAAGTTGAGGAACCCCCAAAACGGATTTCGGCTTGCCTTTTGGCTCCCTTGGTCTCGCGTCAGGTACTGTTTTTGTCATTCCTGAATCCAGGAAGTCCTAGACGATTAGCCAGCTTTTGCCAACAGCCCGCATGGTGTTGTGCCTCAATGCCAGGGCGGAAAGGCTAAGAACGCCACGATGTGCACAAATCGCTCCAATAGAGGTGGGCCACTTGAGTCACACAGCTCTTGAGCCAAGGATGCTGTGTCAAATGTTCTTCAATGATACATGTCGAAACGAACCATCGCAGCAGTCCAGGAGGATGCTTGCTGTAGACATGCAGTTTTCGAGGCTGTCTGCCCCTCGCAGGGGCAGTAGGACGGCAAGTTGGAAATACAAATACTGGAGCGTGTGTGGCTTGTTTGCGGCTGGGTGACCTGACCTTGGTGGCCTCTGTGGCTTGAAAACAGGTTGATCTTAGTCGGAAGGACAGTGGCAGATTGGCAATCGCAAATTGCTGTCTGCGACAGGTCGAACGGTGCCCCACATGTTGAAGGATCTCCGATCTCTTGCAAGCCAACCGAGTTGTCTCGACGGCATCCGTAAAAAGCAACCCTTCTGCTCACATCGCAGCGCCGAGCTGCGATGGCCATTGGAATGGCACAGGCACCGCAGCAACCGAGCAGGTACTTGGCTGGGGAGTCCAGCCCCCATCCAGGGAACAGGAACAGGGCGCAGTACCTCCCAAAAGTCACAAGGGCCAGGTCGGGGAGCAAAGGAGAGCAACGCGTAGGTTTGATTTGAGGGCAAGAAACTGGCATGCGTGGATTTGGGTCAGCAGTAAAGTCATCCAGGAGTCAACACTCTTCCATGTGGGTCTGAGAGCCAACTCAACTCTGCAACAGTTGCAGGCGAAAACATGGTTGAGAGGCGCACCGTTTGCTTTACATGAACAACTATTGCCTGGAGGGAACGGATCTCCGTTGAAACACAAACTGCCTTTGTAATGGAAAGGAAAGAAACAAAACGACACAAATACATACAAAGCTGAAGACTGGTGAACTGGTAAGGTGCTGCGACGGCCCGATGGCGATTTGAAAGCCGTTGGACATCACTGAGCCCTCTCCCTTACAGAACACCTCCTCCGACATGGCCGATGCAAAAGGCGCAGGCGCGCGTCTGGCACGCACGCTCCGCAACTTCTTGAGCCACGCGCTTTGCAGACTGCCAGGCGTGCGTTGAAGGGCAAAAAGCCTTGCCAAGAGCCCACGTCTAAAAGGCCTATTGTATTGTGCAACTCTTTAGAACAAGTTGAATGTAATGATGCAGGTGCTCGTTGATTCCAACGCAAAAGCAGGCGAGGAATCACTACAGGCGTGAATCTCAGCTCTATTTGCCCAAGCAAGTTAGAAATGGGATGAGATCGTGGCTTTGAGCTGCCGAAGCCTAGACATAGAATCAGAATTGCTGGGGCAGCGTGATCAACACTTGGCCAGGGTTCTCCACAACCTATCTGTGTCTCTGATTGCCTACTGTTGCAACAAGAGGTTCAACCAACCTGACAGGCGGCGACCGTTGCCGATCGCTTGCAGATTGACGTCTTGGCCTATCAAGGACCTTATCAAAGCCCTTGAGCTAGCCGCCCTGGGTGTCAAACCAAACAAATGAAGGGCTGCTCGATAAAAACTCGCAGGTTTACCTTACATGCTCATGTGAAGAGTAAAACGGCCACGGCACAACCAATCTTCAACGCGGCTTCTTTCTTGCCCCAGCCTCGCAGTGGTGCCTGGCACAACGTATGAAGCATGGCACCCTGTCGAAGCACCGGAATGGGTGCTCCTCTGGGTTGCCCTTTCTTGATACGGGGGAATGCTGCTTTTTTATCATTTAGTGCCATGTGGATCTTCCAGCATTTGAGCGCAGAACGCAGCGCAAGCACAACATGCGTCTGCGACAAATGATGTTGGTGTTCAGTACCATAGCTCCTAGTTTCCTGTCACATGGTGTACCTTGCTCGCGCTGTCGCTTGGAGCAGTTGTTCGTCAATGATGATGATGATGATGATGATGATGATGATGATGATGATGATGATGATGATGAGGATGAGGATGAGGATGAGGATGAGGATAACGACGACGATGATGTCGAAGGAGGAGGAGGAGGAGGAGCAGGAGGAGGAGGAGGAGCAGGAGGAGGAGGAGGAGCAGGAAGAGGAGGAGGAGGACGACGACGACGATCAGGGTGACGATGATTCGATGATGGCGATGGTGACAACTATGACGATGGCGATGACGATGATGATGATGATGATGATGATGATGATGATGATGATGATGATGATGTTAATGATGATGATGATGATGATGATGTTGATGATGATGATGGTGGTGGTGGTGGTGACGATGATGATGATGACGATAAAAATAGTGAGGGTAGTGACGATGATGCTGCTGATGATGACCACGATGATGATGATGATGACGAACAACATCGCCAAAACAATGACAACAACTGCAGTGACAGCGACGAAAATGACAACGGCAATGACACCACCAGCCCGCCTGCAAGGCTGTCACCTGCGCCGGGGCGTGGTCAATGCTTGCTGGAAGCTCCGACGGGCTGCAAGTAAATCAGTTCAAATGAATCCTGGGAGCTTGCTTGTGTCTTGTGAGCTGGCAGCATTGATATCGGAAAAGAGTGGCTGAAGCCCCTCTTGGGTTTGAGATGTAAACAACCCCTTCAAACAACCCTGCTGAATATAGTTCTGCTGATGGAACAAAAGTACGGCGCTTCCAGGCGCTTCCATGCAATCTGTGTGTTATAAAAACTAGGCTGTGTAATTCACAGGCCTGGCAAAGGCCTGTCTAGTGAAAACTGGGATAGTTTGTCTCAACTTGTCGCGTTCTGTTCCGCCCAGTGTCAACACCGTGCTTTTGCTGGACAGAAGACATCTGCACCAGATGATTTCACTTGCTCAGTGCAACAGCAACGGCCTTGGGCAACAAACTACACCTTTTGTGACTAGAAGACCACACCGCGTGACATGCGGAGATAACACAATGGTCAAACGCCCATGGCAAAGGACCCGTAGCCCACAGACGAACAGTTGCGTCAGTTGCGTATGGTTCAGCATACCTCAAACTGGTATCGACCATGGCAACTCTCCGTGTGACGAGATCCAAGCTGAAGGTCGCAAGGATTCCGGGAATGTAACCGCGAGAAGTCAATTCTACTTGTGCTACGATTACAACGTTGATCTGGCGGTCTGTTGCAAGTCGCTCTTTTTGGGGGACTTCAAAAGGGGTAGTGTGTAAACAACCATTTGAGGGTTCAGGAAGTTCTACACGTTCCGGGAGAATCCAAAGCCGCTGAGCACCGAAAGGGCTGACATCGCCATGCTTGTTGTCTAGCGCGTACACTTGGGGCATCGGCGCATGTGGTTGTGCCATTTCCAAGCTTTGGACAGGACATCCCACAAGAAAAAGCAACTCGCCTGGATGCCACAAAGCCACATGGCATGGCACGCAATGACGTGGGAGCGGGTCACGCACTCTGCTGATGTGTTGGACATTGTTGCAATATTCTGGGCAGTGCAAGCCTAGAGTGTCGGGTCCAAGAGTCAGAGGCAAATTAGAAACAACTCCAATGATGTCTAATCGCGCAAAAAGCTAACAGCTAGAGCCAGGCAACCAGTGGATCGGCAGTTGCGGCAATTGACGGCACAAAACAAGCAATTCCCCGAAGTGAGCCAGAAGAAAGCGTCTCTCCGTGTACAAATGAGACTGCAAACTAGCCAAGTGTCCACCCCGCTCCGCTGGTCCCCTCCTTTCTGGTGGCTGTCAAAAAAGGGCAATGAGCACCAAGATTCTGAGAGATGAAAGGTCGACTGCAATTGAGGTGAAGACAACTTGGTTCAGGAGTAGTGCTAAGAACTTGACGAGCGCCTCCTTGGCGGGAACGAAGAAACCTGGTTCAAAATGGTTGCTTCCAGATTGGTTCAACTTATTCAAAAAGCCTCGGGCCCAACTCGCAATCAAGCCAATCAGTCAATGCAGGATGTCATTGGTGCTCGTGGATGCCAAGCAACCCGCAAACTCACCCAGCCCAACAAACCGAAAGATCCGCCAAACCTACCGAATCAACCTAACCAACCGACCACCTGCGCCGTGCAGTTCATGCCTATTGTAAGCCTTGGGCCGCGCCGCAACTTGCACAAAGAAATCATCTACCAACCCTTGACCCACATCTGGGTACACGGAAACAAAAAATGTTCTGATTCCCCAAATATAAAACATCTTTGGAGAAGACCCCAGAACCCTCACCGCCTTCCAGCCCCCCCTCCCCCCCCAAAAAAAAGAAAGACAAATCCCCGATCACGGGATGGCAATGTCATCGAGCTCCTGGATGGTCATGAGCTCCCTGAGATGCCAAACAGCCGGTCTTCAACGTGCCGGTCCACTTCCGAAATGGGCATGAATGTCAAATAGGGCTTGGTCAAATAAGAAGTTGGATCCGAGCATGCCCTGCTCTTTAACCTGAAATGCAGAAACAGCTCACAGCGCTCGCACGGCACGAAGATTCTCTCTACCGCAGCTCCCCTCCCACATGGTGCAAGCGCTAGTTTGTGTCTGCGGCAACACAAAAATCCCAAGCGCATGGCACGGCACTCAGCACCCAAGAAACGGAATCTCTTGGAGAGGCTGGGCTATTTCTGCTCAAGGGTCCGTGGACCTGCCGGCCGGACGTTTTGCATCCAAGGCGCTTCTTGCCCTTGTTCTCCTCCTTCTCCTGGCTGAGATGTTCGCCCGCTCTCAATAGCGAGCCCTTGTTGTTTTGCATGGAATTTCTATTGTGCTTGGCAGGCACATAACCTCTTACCCCATGACCACTAATTTTAAAGCTACAAAACAGAATTTCACAAATTGTTTGACTTGAGCCCAGGACCAACCCTTTGAAGATCATGCTCAGCAACTTACAACACCCACACACGCACGCACGCACGCACGCGCGCACGCACGCATGCTCACATGCTTTGCGGACTCCGGCGCCCTCAGGCGCTTGTGTTTCTCAGATGCGCCGATGGGAGTTCAAATGTCTTTCATTGCAACTGCGGTGCCCGTGTCGGCCTAGGGCTCGCCCTAAAATGCTGGAGGCGCAGCTACATGTGTAGACTAAAATGATGAGCATGAACTTCTTGCAGGCGTGGGCTTGTGGGTCTGCGGGCTTGCTCTGGTGGTTCGGGGATACGGGTGATGCCGGAGCGCTGATGGGAGCTGCCTTCCACAAATCATCTTCAGTTGGGCGTGGAAGTGCTGCAAACCCAAGACGTTGCCCTTGAAAACACTGAAAAAACAGCGGCTTCAGAAGGCTAAACACTAAAAGCCGCACAGAAATCACGATGCTGATGAAGGCCCTTGCCTTGCGCGCAGCTCGAAAACTGATAAAGGAGCAAGAGCTATCAGCTATGAAGTTGAGCGTTGCGGTGCTGGTTAGTTGTACGTCAGCAAAAAAATCCGCCGACATTGCTCGGCGTGTCGGACACCTAAGAGAGGATAGAGGATAACCCCCCCTAACCCCCCCCCCACCCGACGTCTGATACGTGGGGGGGCCCCCCCCCCCCAAGGACCGCGCGGCAATTTGATGACGTTCCACTAAACGTAGCCTTCGGGGAGCCAGTGTCGCAAAACAGGGGTCCCAGGCTCGATTCCCCCTGCCGGCTTTTTTGCTGGCTTGGGCTTCCTGCATCCTTTTGCCGAAAATCTGGCAAAACTCTGTGTTTTTGGACATCCTCTTTGCGAGAATGCTGGAAAAACCGTGTTTTTTGAGGGAAATACTGGGGAGCAAAGGGGAAGTGCAAGGATACATACATACATACAGACATACATACATACATACATTACATACATACATACATACATACATACATACATACATTACATAACATTACTTTACATTACATCACATTACATACATACATACATACATTACATTACATTACATTACATTACATTTCTTTACATTACATTACATTACATTACATTACATACATACATATGTACATACATACATACATACATACATGCATGCATACATACATACATACGTACATACATACATGCATACATACATACATACATACATACACACATTA